AGCCAAGCTAAATTTGTTTTAAAAATTGTTTTGAAAAACAACTTTTGGGGAAAAAACATAATTGTTTTTTCCCAAGGGTTAATCCTGCTGGTGGGGAAAACATGCTTATTTTTAAAGACGGTTCCAGCTATTTGGGGCTGACTGCTTGTGTGAGACTCATCCAGTGGTTGAACACTTCCTTCTTTGCACCATTTCCCCTTCCCCATCTCAGGACTTGAACCCAGCACCTGGGAGGCAAAGGCCAGACTGGTTGGTCTACAGAGCTAGTTCTGGGACAGCCAAGGCTACACGAGGAAACTCTGTTGAAGGAAGGAAGGGAGAAAGGGAGAGAAAGAAAGGAAGGGAAAGAAAAAGAGAGAGAAAAGACGTGAGGTTTATATAAGTTTTAAGGGTCTGAGAAGATAATAATAAAACTTAAAGACTGCCAGATGGTGGTGCATGCACACCTTTGGTCCCAGTACTTGGAAGGCAGAGGAAGGTGGATTTCTCTGTGAATTCAGCCTGGTCTACAGAGGGAGTTCCAGGACAGAGGAAGCCCTGTCTCAAAAACTACAAAACAACAACAACAAAACCCCAAACAAAGAAAATTTAAAGAATATAAATGATGTTAAAACTTCAAAGGTTCAGTTTTAAGATATTCATCAATGGAGTTCTGACAAGCAATTTGAAGTTTCTGTATCCCTATAAATCTCTTCATTGACCAATCAGATTAAATCAAACAAAATTAGAAAAAGCCCAGGTATAATGGATAGAAAGCTCCTGGATGATTTTCTGGCCTCCCCAGAGAGATGTCGGGGAAGAAAGATGGAAAAACCACATGTCTGCTTTCTGGGGATAGTTTAAATACTCTGTGGGAGTGACCTTGAGCATCTGGGGGGGAGGGGTCACCATTTGATAGGCTTTCTGAGATGCAGCAGGGTTTGGAGAGTGATGGGGGATGGGGATTGAGGTGGAGCTTCCACCAGAGCACTATTAATCTGGCTCTGATAAAGCACTGGGTACTACTATAGACCCAAAGCTTAAAATTCCCTCTGATTGTTTTCTAAGTGTAGACTAAAGGTGCTTTCTTGTTTGATTTGTTTTTTGGAGACAGGATTTCTGTGTAGTCCTGGCTGTCCTGGAATTCACTTTGTAGACTAGGCTAGGCTCGAATAAGTTCTTGTTGTGCTAAGAACATCTCTGTCCAATCTATATCTACAAATGCAGCCCTCTGGACAGAGGAAAATGTGTTAATGCTTTTAACTCAAAATCCTTTCTTGGGTCCTAAAGATTTTACTGTGACTCAAAGGCATGTGACTACTACTTTTTTTCTACAATGTGGATTTCTGTACAGATTCCTAACAGTGATAATGCTAATATATCTAAAACTTTTATCCTTTTTTATAAACTTTAAATTCATGTAAGCTTCAGAGAATCAAAACTTAGATTCATCTGTCACAGGTCAAATGGACTCCAAATAAGTACACCTGTCTGTCAACCGCTTCAATTTACCCACCTATTGCTTATTTCTAAGAGGGAAGTTCTAAACATAAGATTTTCCTTTAAGTTCCTAAACTTTAACTTGTGTCCCTAGTCTGTAACTATCTCAACAGATTTCCACTTGGTTGACAGATAGCGTCCAGGAAACACCTGCTGATTACAAACTGCTCCAAAAAGCTGTGAGCCCTGGACTTGCCAAAAGCTGATGTGGATCAGTCCAGCCAATGTGATTGCTCCCTATCTCTTCAGCTAGGTCAGCTAACCAGATGCTTCTGATGAGTGCCCCAACTCCCTGACCCCCAGCCTTCCTGGGTCCTGACAACAATGTCTTAATTTTAGCTGAGAAGTAGTTACAGAAGAGAGTATGTCACCCCTTATCCTTAACAAAAGGCTAGAATGATAGGTCTAAAGGAGACTGGGAGCATGCTGGAAGGGATCACACCTTGTCATCTTGACCACCCTTACTTTTATCAAAAATAAATGGTATGGGCACCTGGATATATCACTCCAGGGCAAGCACATCAATGGGGATTATAACCCGGCTGCAGAAAATGGATGTCACCAAGGCCTGAGAAGATCCACTAAAGATAAGACTGATGAGAGTTGTAGACTAATAATGTTATTTTGTTCTCTCCTTCTCTTTCATGGGATATATATATGTATATATACATATATATACACACACACATATATATATACATATATATATGTATGTGTATATATATCCCCTCTATAAGAGCAAACACAAAACTTGCCTTAAATGTCTCACAGCTCCTGGTCACAATTGTCAAGTAGGCGTTCCTTCATTCTCCTCTTGGTTGAAACTGTTCAGTTTGTATGTGATGATGGATTATATCACTGCTTAGCTATTTGGCATATACATCAAGCCTCAACATTTTGTATCCTAGTATTCCTATTTCCCAGGATGTTTGCATATGACAGTCTGGCAGGGAAAGAGCATTTGTATTTGCAAATCTTTCCAACCTGCTGGGGCAGAGACAAACATCTAGTTCCCCCCCTCATAGCAAGTTTAGGATTGGGAACAGCTGGATTCTCTCTTGGAGCAACAGCCACAGCAGTGGCCGGATGTCAACTACAAAAATTTAGGATGTCAAATACACAGGATTTATTTGCATTAGAAGAATCTATTGTGGCTGAATGGTGATGCACGCCTCTAATCCCAGCACTTGGGAGGCAGAGGCAGGAGGATCTCTGTGAGTTCCAGACCAGCATGGAACTAGTTCCAGGACAGGTTCCAAAACTACACAGAAAAACCCTGTCTTGAAAAAACAAACAAAAAGTCTATTGTTGGAGGTCAGCCTGGTCTACAGAGTGATTACAAAGGGAAACCCTGTCTTGAAAAACTGAAGGCTGGGGAAATAGCTCAGCAGTTAAGGGAACTGGCTGTTCTTGCAGAGGACTCCAGTTTGGTTCAGTTTCATTGCCACTGCCCACATGGTTGCACATAAATATCTGTAACTCCAGTTCCAAAGGATTCAATCCACTCTCCTCTACCTCCCCGGTGCTGGGATTAAAGGCGTGTGCCACCAGCACCCAGTTGCAACAAGTGTTCTTAACTGCCATCTCTCCAGCCCCACAAGAGACTTTTGAACATGTTAACTAAAAATTCAGCATTGGTTACAGAATCTTACCACAGGGAGTACTCAAGAAACAAAGAACAAAATGAACAAACTAAAACCAATGTATTTTATTGATTGAAAAAAAGAAAACTCATCAAAGACTTACTCTCTCAAGAAAAGGACCCTACCATGTATCTTCTATGCTACAAAACTTGAGATTTGAGTTTAAAGTCTTAGCTATGTGTCTTACCTCAGACTTGTGTCAGCAGCTCCTGACAGCACACCCACACCACCTTGATTAAGACTGAATCATGCTCACCTTTGACCACAATGATAAAAAACACCCCAAGTAACTGAGCTTGAAACTCCCGACAAGCCAGGTGTAGTGGCACGCACCTTTAACAACAGCACCAAGGAAGCTGAACAGGCAGATCTCTGAATTCAAGGCCAGCTTGGTCTACATAGTGAAGACCCTGTTTTAGTTTTACATGACAGGGTCTCTCACTTGCTATTCATCCCAGGCCCCAGGCTGCCCTCAATCTTCTCAATCTTTCTATAGCTCCCTGCCTTGGTCTCTGGAGTGCTGGGCCACAGGCATCCCTCACTACACTTGGCTTATTTTCTTTTTGGGAAGACAGTGTTGAGGCAAGTTCTGTCACTGAGCTACATATTCACCAATATAGCAGACATTTCTTTTAGAGCTTTGGAGGCTAATAATGTCTGGATGAAGGTGGCTGCAAGGTTGTGCAAGGTTGTATGACTGGGATGAGGATCTCCTATCTAGAGGATATAACTCAGACTATAATATAAAGAGAAACTACACTTTTAGGCTGCCCCTTCCACAGAAACTTCAGGCAGACTTAGGGCAGAGGATTCTATGGCAAGACAGAGGTAGACATTTGATTAATGCTTGGGAAATAAGGTTTACTGGGACTCAGTATAAGCTGAGTGAGGTTTATTTTGGGAGGATTCACTCACACATGACAAATGACCACCACGGGTCCCTGCTCCATGGATACCACCTAGATGCTCTCTACAATCCGACCAGGAAGCAAAAGTGAGCTGGGGTCTAGGACCCCAGACCTAGCCTTCCCTGTCACATCCACACCTCTGCCCACCCCCAATGGGGTGGTCAGTGCAGTAGGTGCAGGCGGGATGGATATCTCACTACATCTGAGGAATAGAAACTGGTATAGAACAAGGGTGGCAGGGTCTTTAACAACCTGTGGGGGCTCAGCCAATGTGATACTCAATACCTGTTTCTTTTCAGGCCTGGGTGATGTGTTTTGTCACCCACTTAGACCTTGATTTCAAACAAGCAGTATTTCTCTTAGATGCCAGAGGAGGGTGCTACAGACAGGAAAGGTGAAGTCAGGCTTTTCTTTACTGATGGATCAGCAGCAGATCACATTCAGACTGGGGCAGCCCGCTTGGATCCACACTTGGTTCATTGCTCTGAAACGCCAAGACAAAGGTGGCTCCAGATGTACAAGAGAGCCTGAGCTATGGACTTCTTGCTGGCAGGATGGGGGAGCATGTTCCCCAAGGCCTAGGGCTAAGAACCTAGACCTCCATTCTCACCATTCTCTGGCCCCAAGAACCACAGGGTGACTCTCTTCGGGGACTCCCCTTCCCCCCTCCACATCAGATGGGTAATGTTCTGATGTCATACCCAGGTTTGTGGGAGTCACATGTCTTCCAAAAGCATGAACGCCTAATCATGAACCAAAAAGGACCTTAGGGGCTCCTAGTGAATCTCTGCTGGTGGTAGCTCACCTGTAGTCACAAATAAGTTCTCTAACACCATGGTCATTCTTGCAAGCATCCATCAGTGCTCTAAAGATTATGTAAAAAGAAGAAAGATCTTTGAGTGGGCATCTGACCCACCATGACAGTGGCAGTTTTGTTGCCACCACAGGAAGGAAGAACTCTGAAAACACCTTACCCATCACAACCTCAAAGTTTTATTGTTAACAGCTCATGTTCATGTTCCTATGAAGTCCAGCTTGTGATGAGGGAGATGGGAGACAGCAGCAGCTGGTTGAGCCACTTGCTGAGATGGTCCTGCTCAGAACCTACAACGCCTGCTGGGCAGGCAGTGGTCTAAGGGACCCCAAGGTCCACACAATGGGACTGACCAGTGCACACAGGATCCTCGTGCATGCAGAACCACAAAGCACACATGGGACGCCCCTAACACATAAGGAACTACAGTGTCTCCAACTATCTCCATTTTCTACCCATGTGGGCTTTTCTTGTGCCTGATGCAGTTTCCAACATGACCAGTTCTCCTGCAGGAGCATGACTGGCTATGAGGACATGAGACATAGTTGTGTTCAGCATTTAAGAAGGGAAAGGCCAGTTGCTATAAAAATCCTGCATGTGTTACTTGTTCAGGGAAGAGACCACTGGCCAAACACATGTGAAGTGAAAAGCACACCCCTGCTAGTCAGATAGACTCACACATGTGTACACATAGTGATGGTGGTGTGATTGAGCATGATGCGCAGTCACACATGCATGTCACACCTTGGCCTGACTCAGACCTAGTGTTCAACTCTTGTCATTCCCCACTGGCACAAAGACAAACCCTGAGCTGAGTATGAAGTCAAGTATGGATAACACACAGATCAGAGAGAGTCCTGGTCCTAGGGGTGCTAGCTGAGACACAGACATGCAGTGTGGCCATGTAAGATTCCTGCCTATGCTGACCCTTGAGGCATGGCATCCTAGCGGTGGGGGCTAACTCTGTAGTGTGAACTCATAGGTGTTGGTTTCCCAGTAAGAGGTGTCTTTGTCCAGCATGCTCCGTTCTGTGAAGGTCACATGGCCATCTGCATCCACGAGGATGATGGTGTTGGTTCTGAAAGAAAGCATCTTTTAGCCCCAGCTCCACCTGAGACCAGACCTGAGGCATAGAGGGAAGGCCCATCACACCCAAGGCCTGATCTGGCTACTCATCTCTGAGGACATGAGGGGCTCATCAGAGGCATCTGGGTTCCCTGGCCAGCCTCATGGGTGAGTGAGTACTGTTTACCTCTGCTCTGAAACACTTGGCCTGACCTTTTTCCCACAGCAAGAACCAATTCACTATATCCCTCACAGGGACTACCTACCTCCCACCCGTAGTACACCAGGCTCCCAGACACCTGCCATGTTTGGCTCTCCAAGAGGTTAAATTTCCAACTACTCAGGCACATGACCTATTTATCTAGAAACAATCCCTCTTGTGACCTTCCACCACTGGCCCAGGCTAAGTCACCTGGCTCACTTTCTTATTCCTTTTAGCCCACCCTACCATGGGTTCTCAGATGTGAGCTCTTGCCCTTCAATCAGGGTGGGTACACATAGGAAAGACCAGCCCTTAGCTGCCACTCCAGCATGTAAAACACAGGCTTTGGAGAATCAGTGCCAGGGTAGCTGTCCCAGTGTCTGCAGGTAGGAACATTCCAAATGCCATCTTGGCTTCTTTGAACAGGTGAGGCAGGCAGGAGCCCCACCTAGGACACAATGACAGCTTCAGGAACTCTGACCTCCTTACCCAATGGGCACGCCACCTATAGGATCTGCTCAACTTGTAGTGAAGTCTAGGAAAGACATACTCCAAAATGCATGGAATCAGAGAAGGTGCCTAGCTGTGGCCAGTTATGTTGTGGGGAGCCAATGGGAAGGGAATATGCCCAGCCAGTTGGACCCTGATCACCTGGTGCCATAGGTGGCGCAGCGCACACACACCGCTGCATACTTGCTCAGAATTGGCTGTACATACTCCTGGCCCTGGTCCTCAATGGCTGGATCTGGCAGCTGTCTAGAGAAATAGAGGACCAGAAAAGCTGTTAGTCCTATACTGCCTATCTGCAGCCTGTGTATGTGAGGGCACTATTTGCCATGCTGGCAGCCTGAGGTCCCTGAGGAGGAACTATAGGCTTGTTTATAACTTTTCTACTTGGCTCCTTCTGCTTTGTCACCTTTCCACCATATCACTTATGACTCCATCATTAAGCCTAGGCATCTAGATGGCACTTAGCAGTACCCTGTGAGCATCGGTCCATGGACAAGAGCCTTTTTTAACCCTGAGACTCAGCAACCAGCACAACTTGTACCATGACTGTGCTTATCAATAGGACCAGCCAGAGCCATAATTGGCTTGCCCAAGTGATTGAGGACCATGTGGACACATGGCTGAGCAGAGCCCAGCACTGCCCCACACAGGGGCAGCTGATGCTAAGGTTCACAGAAGAGTGAGCAGGGGTCAGGGCAGTCCTCACTCTGTGGAGGATGGAAGCATGGCAGAATGCTCCTTTGAGAGGCTGCAAGGTGAGCAAGATAGAGGGACACTGGGCCTTCTGAGCAGAATGGGAAGATGCATAGGACAGTGAAGGAACAAATGCCAGGGCTCTTGGCTGGGATTGCTGAGGGCACCCCATGAAGAGGTTCATGGGCATGGAAGGGGGTGTCTGTTACTTCCAGAGACAGGTGTGTTTATGCCTTAGCTCCAAGGTTACTGGAGGCAGAGCATAGCAAACAATGTCAAGCCCTAGGTCTGCTCTGACTAGCTTCTGGCTTTTCTGGCTCATCTCCCTAAGGTTTGCTGAGTAGCTAGAACCTTCTAGAATATCACACTAGCCGTTCTTGAGTAGAGGGAGACCAGATCTCAGAGAGCACAGGCCTTGGCTGCACCAACTCTCATTATCCAGGGCCCACTGGAAACCCAAGGGATAGGTCTGAGTCTTAAGAAGGCATAACAGGTCAGGCAGGCTCTACTGCAGCTGGGAAGCCACCCTGCTCATCTTTGCAGGCCTTCAAGGTGGCAAATCCTGCTTTCTCCCAGCCCTAGGCCTGTGTGGCTGCCCCAGAGGACTTGCTCACTTACGCCTCCTCATTGTTGAGTACATCTAGGAGATGGGTGACAAGGGTATCCTTAGGGAGTGCCTCGCTCTGCTCCACCACTTCCATGAAGAGTTGTTTGCCAAAGCACAGCTTCCTCCAGGGTGTCTCCAGTAGAGCATTGCTTAGCCCATAGGTTCCTGTAGGAAGAAGTCAGTCTCGCCATGTGAAGGCTCTAGGTGGCTGGGGCAGATGGCTTAGTCAAGAATTCTGAACAAGACACCAGTGGAAGCTGAGTTCCTGGAAGATCACTCAGGCTCTGCTGGAGCCCCCAAGGCCAAGCTGTCAGCCCTGGTGTCAGTGTTTTTTTTTTTTTTCTTTTTCTGGAGTAGCTTGAAAGACCATTCTATGATGGTGCCGGGTGAGCTGGACCTGACCTCACATCCTATGCAAAAATAACTCAAGGCCATCAAGGTGGCTGTGGGTAAAGGCAACGGTCATCAAGTCTGATGACCTGAGTTCAAGCTCTGGGACCTACATGGTGGAAAGAGAAAACTACACCTGCAAGTTGTCCTCTGACCTCCACATGTAAGCTGAGGAATGGTTACACAGGCAGGTACAAACTCACATGCACACACTCACAACAAATAAATTCACAACAAATAAATGTTTGAGGCAAGTTTGCTTACATGAGACATGGTCTCCAAAAACCAAACCAAAACAAAAAAGGAGCAGCTTTAAGATCAATGTGGTGGCCTGAATCTATAATCTTAGAACTTAGGAGGCTGAGGCAGGATTGTGGCAGGTTTGAGGCCAGCCTGCACAGCAAGGTTCAGGTCAGCCTGGGTTAGAGTGAGATTGTGTTCCATATGCACGTGCATGCACACACACACATGCACAAAGTAAATACATTTTAAAAAGAAAAAGTTTCATGACCTTAAATTAAGCAATGATTTATCAAGTAAGACAATAAAAGCATAAGCAACAAGATAAATGGGACTTCATGTGAATTTAAAGTTACACATTTCAAAAAAAAGTGCCAAACAAGTTAAATAAAGCACAAAATGGGAAAGGATTTTTGATGAGATTTGTAGATTATATACAAAGACCAATTTGTGTGTGTGTGTGACTTTTCTAGACAGGGTTTCTCTGTATTGTTTTGGAGCCTGTCCTGGAACTAGCTCTGTAGACAGGGCTGGCCTGGAACTCACAGAGATCCGACTGTCTCTGCCTCCTGAGTGCTGGGATTAAAGGTATGCATTACCAATGCCTGGCTGAAAGACTAAAACTTTTAAATGGACAGACCACACCTGTAATTCCAGCACTCAGAAGGTGGCAGGAAGATCAGGAGTTCATTGTCACCCTTGAACATATATTGAGCTGGGGTCTGGCTAACTTGGGATACATGAACTCCCAACCCCACCTCCTCATCCTTGCCTAAAAAAAGGAAAATGCAGGTAATGGTGTCAAAGGTAGAGAGCTTTGCCTGGTATTCCAGAGGTTTTGAGCTTGATTCACCAGCATCTCAAGTTGGGGAGAGGGAAGACAGAGGTCTGGGGATATGGCTCAGTGGTACAGTATGTGCTCAGCATGCTTATGGGTCTGGGTCCTATTCCTAGAACTCTCTCCCTCTAAAGACAGAGAATAGCAAGTCTTGGTGAAAATTCAGAAAAACAGGGACCTTCATAAACTAAACTGCTGGCAGAAATGTAAAAAATGTGCAAATGCTTTGGCCAACCATGTGAAAGTTCCTCAAAAGGCTCCAAGTGGAAACAGAAGTGTTGGGCAGTCAGGTAGCTCAGGAGTAAAGGTACTTGACAAGTAAGCTAAATCACAAGTCAACTTCCATCTGAATGAAACATCTGAGGAGGAGTGGGTGCAGATGGCTCTGGTGGATGATGTACCCGATGCTTCCTAGGTAGGACCAGGCTGGCTTTGAACTCAACAGAGATCCGCCTGCCTCTGCCTCCTGAGTGCTGGGTGTGCATACCTTGCCAACTATTTGTTTTTTGTTTTAACTAATTTGGTTGAGATAACATCTCACTATGTAGCCTTTGCTGACCTGAAACTTACTGTATAGACCAAGTTATCCTTGAACTCACAGAGATCTGCCTGCCTCTGTCTCCCTTACCTCCCACTCCCCCACCTCTCCTCCACCCCCAACCACCTCAGCACCTCTTAGGTAAGAGGCTTGTCATGAAGTCTTGGCTGGCTTTGAATTTATTCTTCATATCAGCTGGCCTTAAAATTATGACTATCTTTTTGCCTTTACTTCTCTAGCACTGGAATTACAGGCTGTACCGCTACAGCTGGCTGTGTGATAGGCTTTACATGCATAGCACGTGAGACCCATTCGATAATGGGTCGTTTGGGACAGGGTCCCATTGTGTAGCCCAGGCTGGCTTGGCACTATGTAGCTACTGCTGGATTTGAACTCAGGGAAATTCTGCTTAAAAGTAGATGGCTGAGGGTTTACTAAGATTGTATTTAGTAGGTGTGAGGGCCTGAACTCAATTCTGAACACTAGAAGAAAGGGGACATAGATTAAGTGGGGGCAAGCTCAGGGATAAATCATGTAGATAGAAAGAATTTCTACTATAAAGACCCAGCAGAAAAGAAGCTGCAGTCAGGGAACTTTTAGCTCTGAAAACAGCAGGCCTCATGCCCTTGTCTCCAGCTGCTCTCTCAGAGGCCCCTGGGCTGCTGGGCTGGTATGAGACTGACTTCTGGAATACAAAACCTCTTTAGTGGATCTGCAGACCCCAAGAAGCTGAAATGAAGGGGTTCTGAAGCAAACAGAGCACAAGACCTGCAGGAGATATATGCACTTGACTCTGCCTAAATCCAGGCTTCAAGTCAGCCATGAGCTGGATCCTGGAAGTACAACCAGACCCATCCTGGGCTTGCACAGGAAGGGGAAGATGTACATTACTAATGTGGGGTGCCACAGCTACAGCCCTATGTGAGAATGTGCAGGAGACCTAGTGGGAGTGACTAAAGCCACACGCTCTAGGATCTCACCAATCTATGGCATCCTGCCTAGACATACCCCAGCTTTGGAGCTCTTTGGCCCACCTGGGGCTCAAAAATTCCCAGAAAGTCATGAAAAGCTGATGCCAGCTTTGACATGTGTGAGTTCCATCATGAAGCAGGCTAGGTCTATAGGCCTCACCATTATCCTTGGAGCAAATAGTACAGGCAGGGCAGGGCTACTCAGCTATCCTGGGGGCTGCACCTCAATTCCCTTGAGCTCCACCCTGAATACAACATTTTAGGTTCTCAGTGGGAAGGAGTAACACGTGTCCTGCAACCTCATTTAGTAACCTGTACCAACTGCCTAAGAAAGACTCCATGACTTGGGGATGCAGAAACTGTATTATGAAAAGTGTCATAAGGAGGTGGGGTATTGGTGCTGCTGAGGACACTGACTCTCTCCCTAGGGGTAGGGACACTTAGTATGGGCCACTGGCTCAGTTTTAGTGTCAGAGTCAGTGTCCAAGGCCCACAGATGTGAGATGTTAGCAGCACAGATGGTTCACAGGCTGTGAATGAAGGAGAAAGCAGTTGGCCCCAGGAGGTTAGTTCACCCGTACTGTGCTATTTCCCATGGGTCCTGCTCAGTCTTGGCACCAGACCTCTGCCAAGACATAAACTTACTTTCTTCTAAAGTGGCTTAGAGGACCATGTGAGTGTGAGTATGTATGTGTGTAAGACAGAGGGGGGAGGGGGAGAAGGGGGAAGGGGAAGGGAGGAGAGAGAGGGAGAAAGCGTTGGCTCAGAGTGGAGGCTGGCACTGGTACAAGAGGCTTCCAAGAAATCACAACAGAAACTACAGCCTGGGTGCAGGTGTGGAAAGCAAAGGGCATCTAGGAGCTCTGGGGCAGGGGACATGGGATACGTATGGGTACTAGGTGTAGGAGGTATGCATAGGAGAGGAGCTGAAATGTGTGTATGTATGTGTATCATCAAAGGGGCCCTGGGAAGACCTTGGATGGTGACTTTTGTGAGCTGCTAGCTGAGCTATGAGGGCTAGGGTAGGTGTCCAGTGCAGGAAAGCCCATGAGAGAATGTATGCATGCAGGATGTAGGCAGGTGCAGGCCACAGTCCTATACAGACCACATAATACACACAAAAAGCCAAAAAGTAAAGTTCCAAGAGGGTAATGCAACAACAGCCTGATGTCTGAAAAGCACACAGTATTACCAATATAGGAGCAGCCCCTACTCTACCTTGCCTGGACACCAAAGCAAGCTCACCTGGTGTCAAGACAATAGGCTCAGGCTCCCCCCGGTTTCCATAGTAGCAAACGACATCTCCTTTTGCCGTGCTGTGAATGGAAGCAAAAAGTCAGATGGGAGCTATAAGCACCCCTTTTCCCAGAACTTCCCAGTGATCTCACAAGGACAATGGCTCACTTCAGCCTAGCTCCAGGCCTGGAAAGCTGGGCCACAGAGACACCAGGCCCTGTCCATGCTCACAGGTATACTCCTGACTCACTACTAGAACCAGCAAGGAAGCGGAATGCATGGACACAGACATGTTGTGATAACTGCATCCCACCCCAGCCCTTCTGATGGATCACAGATGCCACCACATGGCTAATCTCTAAGTGCTTCTGATGGGTAGCCTCAAAGCACACTTCTGAACAAAGTAACAAAGGCTATTCTCTCCCACTTCAGCATTTTACAACTATTTACATAGCTGTAACTGCTAAAACAAACAAAAAAAAAAAAAAAAACAAAACAAAAGAAACACAAACAAACAAAACAATTCCTCCAATAACCCTCCCAGCTGGAACTCACAAGTGACTGAGATGCCTTCCAAATGCACAACCACAGATGGGATGGCTTTGGTTAAGAAACAAAACCTCCTGTTCCACATGTATACATGCTTAGCAGCCCCCAGTGTGGGTTCACATCCCTTTCACATTCTTCCTCACTCTAATCCTCGCAACTCTCTTAAGAATTCTGAAGATTTTGTTTGTGGCAAAAGTTTTTTTTTCCCCCTTTCTTTCTTTTTTTCTTTTGGTTTTTTGAAGACAGGGTTTCTCTTTGGAGCCCGTCCTGGAACTCTCTGTAGAACTTGAACTCACAGAGATCCGCCTGCCTCTGCTTCCCAAGTGCTGGGATTAAAGGAGTGTGCCACCACCGCCAGGCAAAAGTTTTTTCTTTAATTTGTGTGTGTGTGTGTGTGTGTGTGTGTGTGTGTGTGTGTGTGTGTGTGTGTGTGTAAGGACCCATGGAATTGAGTATCTATGTCAGTGTCCCTGTCACCATTGCCTGGAGAAGACAAAAGGTGGTGTGTGTGTGCAGGAACAGCTATGACCAGGACAAATTTTCATTGTAAGCTTTTGTCTGTCTATCTGTCTTTCTCTCTCTCAGATTTACTGTTACTTTTGATTGTGTGTGTAAAGGTATTTGTGTAGGCCAGACACACAGGGTCCCCTGGAACTAGATTTTGCAGGAACCATTTGACATAGATGCCGGGAACTGAACTCTGGTCCTCTGCAAGCATTGTATGCACTCTTACCCACTGAGCCATCTCTCCAGTCCCAGGTCTTTATTGCTTGTTTTGAGACAATGTCTCATTACAGTTCTAGCTGCTCTGCAATTCTTTATGTAGACCAGCTGGCCTTGAACCCACTGAGACATGCCTGTCTCTGTCTCCCAAGTGCTGGGAGTAAAGGTGTGCAGAGCTACGCCTAGCTTGGATCTGGTTTATTAGTACCCAACTGCTACCCTGCAGCATCAGCAGTCTGACTTGTGGGATTGCTCTTTAGCTGAACTCTGACCCTGCAGGATCTATAGCAGGGAAGGCTACTCAGATTTCTAGAGACCCAACTGCAGAAGCTACTGTGTATCTGCCCAGAGAACAGCAGCCTTGTTTCCAGCTGTTTGACATAGCTACTGAGCAACCATTCCTACCTGTATCAGAGCCATAGCTCTGGCCTTTTGGGGCTAGATCAGACACACATGAACTACTACTGAAAACATACACACAGCTCCATGTTTGGAGAGGAAAGGAAGCATAGGTTTATGGCTTCCAGGAGAACCAGAGAGAAGGGAGGATGGTAGCATGCCCCTACAGCTCTCATTCTGGGCCTTTTTCCTGACCATTGCACCTCACTCAGCTTCCACACTGAGTCAATCTATCCATGTAGTCCTGTAGTCCTGGAATGACACAGGACACATGATACACAATGGATGTTTAAGACATGCTGGGCCTAGGGCTCACCTATAGACCTGTGCCTGTGGTAGGAGGAAGCTCAGGACAGACACCTGGGTATAGGATAACATCAGCTTCCCTCAGGAGGAAACCCCCAGCTAATAGCATTCACTGACATCAGGGATAAGGATATTTAACTCGCTGAAAGGCCAAACATCTCAAACTTGTGTTCCTATAACCACATCTCCAACATGAGTACCATCTGGGAGTTCAAGTACATACTCAAGACAGACTGATGCCAGCTGTTACAAGGTATCTCCACAGGAGGTGATGGATGCCCAGCTGGAGCTGCCCCAAGCAAGAGTCCACTGCCAGCTCTCCACTGCTATTCTGTCACAGCAGGGAGCCAGCAATCTTACACTGTCTCAAGAAGCCCTGAGCATACCCTAGTCTCAGTTAGTGGGTCTCAGACAGGCCAGATCCTCAGATGTTTGCCCTTCAAGTAAAGTCCTGGGGAAGGCCACCAAGCTGACTGGGGCAGGGATCTATATACAGCAGTACTGAAGACCTAGTTACCAAGGCAGACCCACCTCAGGTCAGCTGCTATGAGGTTAAAGCCATTGTACAGGTGGCCCTCTGTAGAGACCTTCTTCAGGTAGGACAGGCTGTCCATGTCACTGGTCAGAAAGTGAGTCACAAGTTCACCTGTGGGCAAGGTACACATATTAATGGCCAAGGCAGTACCCATGAACTCCTGACCTAGGGAAGACTGAAATACGGCCTCAGGGGAGAACAGAAAAAGAGGGGTTGGTTCCACTGGGGCTCCAACATCTGAAGTCAGCCATACCTTGCTAACTGGGCTATTATGGAGAATGTTTTAAAAATATTTTGTAGGGCTGGGCGGTGGTGGCACACACCTTTAATCCCAGCACTTCAGAGACAGAGACAGGTGAATTTCTGAGTTTGAAGTCAGCCTGGTCTACAGAGTGAGTTCCAGGAGAGCCAAGTTACATAGAAAAAACCCGTCTTGAAAAACAAAACTATTTACACACACACACTCATTCCCCCCCCCCAGGTAGGAGACAGATCTCAATAGTAAAACCCTTGCCTAGTTTGCTCAATGCCCTGGGTTCAACTCCACACAGCAGAATGAATGGATAAATGAAAGAAAAAGTTCACCTACTATGCCTCTATGTAGAAATTCAGCATTAAGAAAGATGAAACTCAGGGCCTAGGCCCTACTCCAAATGACTTGACAGATTTTGATGATCCCTCCTGGAAGGCCTCACCCTCCCTGTGGAGTGGGGGGTGGGGGAGACATGGGAAAATGGGACAGAGAGGGAACTGGAATCGATATGTAAAATAAGAAAAAATAATAATAAAAAAAAAAGAAAGGTGAAACTCCTTTTAATCTCAGCACTTGGGAGACAGAGGCAGGCAGGATCTCTTTGAGTTAGAGGCTAGCCTGGTCTAAAGAGCTAGTGTCAGGACAGGCTCCAAAGCAATACAGAGAAACCCTGTCAAAAAAAAAAAAAAAAGAAATTCAGGGCTGAAGAGATGGCTCAGCAGTTAAGAACACTGGCTCTTTCAGAGGTCCTGAGTTCAATTCCCAGCACCCACATGGCATATTATAATCATCTATAATGGGATCCAATGTCCTTTTCTGACATGCAAGCATACATGCAGACAGAACACTCATATACATAAAATCCATAAATAAGTAAATCTCTAAAAAAAATAAAAGATCAAATTCAACAGTCAGGGGACAATGACACAGCGCAGGGAGTCATGAGCCTGGAGGACACTCCTGCAGAATCACACTGGCAGTGCTTGGCCATTTCTTCTCTCCAACTCTTCTTCCTGTCACCATTGTATGAAGGGTACATGAAGGGTGTGGGGCTCACCAGCAGAAGCCCTGGCAGGGTGCCTTTCTTCTCACATTACCAAGAGACCTGCCCACCTCCATTGGTCTGCCAGTCTTACCTAAGCTCTACTCCAGTGTGTCCTGTCTTTGTCCTACCTAAGCCCCACCCAATCCCATATCATAGATCCCATACCTCTACCACGGGCGTATGGCTCTTGCCGGGGCTGCAGGTAGTTGGTGAGTGCCCCCAGCTTTCCACGTGTGCTGATGCCCAGCCATGTTCCTCCTGCCTTGCCTTCCTCCATGTCGAGCCCTACAGCAGGTGACAGCATTACCACCAATCAAGTTCCTGTGATGGGTTCCACTGGTACTCTCTCCTAGTCCTCAAGAGGCATGTTTCATAGCTTCTCATAGGGTCAATGCTGCTGCCACTAGGTCCCAGGTTATACAGGCTCTATAAGCCATAGGAAAGGAGCTGGGAGGTATGGCCCAGGGATGAGCATGTGAGAGAGACCCTAGACAATAGGAAGTATCTGGGACAGACTATTAGGTCACTACATGCAGTCTGTGTAAAAAGTTAAGATGTCCTATGAGAAAGTATGTTTATATGAGTGTGTATGTGTAATATAAATGTGTTATTTGCACACCTGTGTGTGCTGGCACATGCACCTGTGCCCAAGCAGGCTCTACAGAACGACAACAGGTGTTTGCTCTAGCACACTCCACCCTCATAACTGCATATCACTATGCTGGAACTGGATGGGGGCTGAGCTTCAGTGACTCTGTCCCTGCCCTCTGCAGCTCTGGGTTACAGGCACACAAGGCCATGCTGGTGGGCTCTAGGATTTGAACTCAGATCTTCATGTTTGTGCAGCAAGTACTCTTACCTGACTAGGCATCTCCCTAACCCTAAAATGTCATTAATTTGAACATACACACACACACAAAAAAAAAACAATTAAAATATAAACACGGGAAAGAAAACAAAACTATGGTAGGGAGCAGAAAGCCCAAACACACCCAAGGCAACCCTCTAGAGCTAGCTAGAAGGTAAGTGGGCTGAAAACCAAAGAACCAACATGTACTTGCCCCTTATGGTTAACTATTGAGTCAAGGTCTAATGTAGCTCAGGCTGGCCTTGAACATCTGATTCTCCTGCCTCACCCTATGTGCTGAGATTACAGACATGTGCCACCTGTGCCTGGTTTATGCAATGCATGCTACGAAAGTACCAACTCAGCTAGCCACCTCCCCAGCACCACTTTCTAAGTCAGAGTCTCACAAGATAGCCCTGAAAGCCTTGATCAGGACCTCATGGTGACACTTCTGTCTCAGACTCAAAAGTTTTGGGATTACAGGGTTATATCACCATGCCTGGTTTAGAAAATGAAAATTCAAATAGATAATTTAAAACAGTATTGAAAACATTTTAGAGCCTTGAACGCTTGGGCTCAAAAGATCAGGTATGACTACTGTGCTCAGCTCAAAAGAGCAGTGACAGAGCCTTGTACTAGCACCCAGACATGTCCGCAGATCAGTGTGGCACCCACAGAATCCAGAGCAGACCCAATATGTATATTCAACTGATTTCAATTAACAATGCTGCAATGACTAGGAGGATAAACCTCAACCCTCACTTCATACCAGAGCTGGAAAGAAAGTTACTAATGTGCTCTCCTTGCAAGCATGAAGAGCTGTTTGATTTCCTGTAAGATTCAGTACGGGGTGGTGCAAACAGAGAAAGGCTAACCATGGAAGATTGTGATGAGCCAGTCCAGACTAATGAGTGAGCTTCAGGCCAATGGGACTTTGTTTGAAAGGAGGTGGCTAGTGTTCCTGAAGTTGTCCTCTGGCCCCACGCACACATGTGCACACACATATACATGAATTCATACATGTATGTAAACATTAATTTGAGAGGAGAGTCAGATTGCCAACTTGAGGCTTTAGCAGAAAAGTTATGGCTTGGGGGAGGAGCATGCTTCCTGAACAAGACAAAGAAGAACAAACCATAAAAACTTGTTTGTTAAAAATAAAGTGTTCTGCTCACCAAAAGATATTAAGGAAGTTAGATGGCAGCCCATTTACCCAACGAAAGACTCATATCCAGAACTCATAAAGAAACCCTACAAATCAACAACTGAAAAGCAAATGAGCTTTCACTTCTGGCCAAGCAACAGAGAACAGACTTACTTTCCCACATAAAACCAAGCATAATACCTATGAAAACATGGCATTAAGGAGGTTCGAGAAGGTATGTTAGTACACACCTATAATCCCGGCAGTCAGAAGGTGGAGGCAGCGAGCTTCAGGCAAGTCAGAAATACACAGGGAGACCCTGTAACCTCCCATCAAGAGCAAAACAAAACAAAAAGCAGGCTAGAAATATGGCTCAATAGTAGAATACTTGTCAGTATAGAATGTTGATCCCCTCCGCACTGCAAAACAATGAACAAAAAGCCAGATGGGCTGGCAAGATGAATCAGTGGGTAAAGACACTTGAGGCCAAATCTGATATTTGGCCCCCATAATCCACATGGCAGATTGTGAGAGTGTACACATGTACACACACACACACACAGGCAGACAAATAATGAATAAATAAATATATAATTAAATAAGCTCAAATGGGGCTGGCTTCTCACCCACCTAACAGGCCTTAAAGCAAAGCTCAAACTGTCTCTTGACAATTGGTTTGCATCTAGAAAAAGCTTACTGGTTTCTAGGTATACAAAATATACCCAATACAGGCCTTTGGTGTGAGGCCAGGAGTGCAGGTAGGAACATGAATACAGATATGAAAATATATGTAGATACACACACACACACAATAATGATGCTCCAAAGACCAAGCAATGTGGTTTCTTCTCACAGGCTGACCATTTCTACCAGGATACCATAGCATGTGAAGATACATGGGGGGCATACTGGGTAGTTAGTTCTAAGAGATGCCTGATTCTGGGCCTGGCTGAATCCCCAAAGCCATTCATGCCTACTTATGCATTCAGCATTTGCATGTGGAAGCAGGACCATTACTAGTCTTATTTGGCAGGTGCTACTTCATCAAACTAGTGGAGCACAGTAGACAGTTGCTCACCAGGTGTGAGGAAACTTACCACTGAGGATGTCATTGTTGTCCCCCCAGAAGTCTGCCAGCTTAGATGGTCTGTGGTAGGATTCATCTCTATTGGCTGCCAAGATGAGCCTGGGAGAAGAAAGTTCAAGGGAAGCCATGTGCTGGGGATTAAACTGCATATGCTCCTTCATGGAGTTGCACCTCTAGCACCCCTGGTTTAACATTAAATTTACAGCAGCAGCAACATAAATAAGAACCCCACCTCCATTCCTTGCTATATATCCACAGGCACTCTAGGCAGCTCCTGGGAAGCTATGGTCAGAGTTCCTCCTTGGGAATCAGGCTCTAGGAGGATTAAGTATAAGGTAGGATATAAAGGAAACTAAGGAGACATGGAAAGGGTTGAAGTATCTCACCAACTCAGAGTTGAGAATTCTTGTACAATTAATATTTACTGATAAGATAGCCTACACAGGGCAGGCACATGAAATGGTTCAGCAGTTAAGAGCATGGACTGCTCTTCTAGAAGATTGGAGTTTGATTCCCAGATCCACATCAGGAAGCCCATAATCGTCTGTAGCTCCAGCTCCAGGGGATCCCACACACCTGATCTATGGATACCTGAACTTATGTGCATGTATCTGTAAAAATATAAATAATTTAAAATAAGATAATTGTTTTTTTTAAAAGATTGACTACAGAGAGACAATACTCTTTTTTTTTTTTAATATAAGATTTATTTATCATGTATACAGTGTTCTGTCTGCATGTATGCCCATAGGCCAGAAGAGGGCATCAGATCTCATTACAGATGGTTGTGAGCCACCATGTGGTTGCTGGGAATTGAACTCAGGACCTCTGGAAGAGCAGCTAGTGCTCTTAACCTCTGAGCCATCTCTCCAGCCCGAGACAATACTCTTTATATAGATTTTTTTTCTCCAAATAAGAATGTTAAAACAGCAATGAGCCATGTTGTAAAGTCTGAGCATTTATATCCTTGAGCATGGTCTTACTACCTTCCTCAGATACAAGTCTAAAGTTTGCTGAGTATCTCAAACAAGACTGAAATCTGTTCACAATAAAAGCATCTTCTGTTACCCATTACCTTATCGGCTACTCTAACCCAGTGCCCCTCAGGAGCCACTCTATCCCTGAAGTTCTTTCACAACTCTTGAAACATCCCTTCACAAGGCACAGTCTTATACCTCTGAGATGTCCCTTTAGAAGGCAGGCACTGAAGCATGTCTGGGGAAACCCACACCTTGGCCCCTGTACATCTTGACACCTGAGTGCTCTACTAACCTCTGTGACAAAATCTATGTTAAAGTCTCTTCTCAATAAACTCCAATCCTGCTTCATGTTGACTCACCCTGATATTTTTGTCTGTAGTGAAGTCAAGCTGGGGTGATGGTACAAAACTTTAGTTCCAGCACTAGACAGGCAGAGGCAGAGGCAGGCAGATCTCTATGAGTTCCAGGCCACCTGGGGCTACACAATAAGACCTCCATTAAAAAAAAAAAAAAAAAAGAATCCACTACACTTTATTACATTACCTGAGTGGACATCTCTCAGGCTGTTAGAGGAGGCAGCATGGAATCATGCAGTTGTATCTCTGGCCTCTGCCTGATTGCCACTGACAGGTTTTCATAGCTCAGCTTGAGGAGACAGATCTATCAGGGCTTGTGGGAAGTCTCATTCCATGCCATATCCCAAGTGTCAGGCCAGTAAGGATTCTCCCTTACTCTCTCACCAAGCACACACAGGGGCCAAACTAGAGTGTAGGGAACTGCCCTCCTTCCTCCCCTGCAGACACCGAAGCAGACCTTGACACATGAGCCTCCGTCAAAAGCAGCTCAAGGGCAGCCTGGACATCAGCGGCTCCATCTTGTTCATGAAAGGAACATGGAAATAGTTCTTGAGCCCTCTGGGCCTCCTGTGGAAGCCTCACCACTTCTAGAGTGTCCTACTCCCTTGCCTTAATTGTCACAGCAGAGTGTCACCCACAGTAGGGAGAGGTAATCACTGCCCTTGGGATAGACTGTGATGGTCTGAATGACAATGGCCCCATAGACTCACAGGAGTAGCCTTGTTGGAGGAAGTGTGTCACTGAGTTTCATACACTCAAGTCAGGCCCAGTGGCTCATTCTCTCTTCCTGCTGCCTACAGATTGGGATGTAGACTTCTCAGCTCCTTTTCCAACAGTACACCATCTCTGCCAGTATGCTGCCATGCTTCCTACCATGATGACAATGGGCTAAACCTCTGAACTGTAAGCCAGCTCCAGTTAAATGCTTTCCTTTAAAAAGCTACCATGTTGTCTCATCACAGCAATAGAAACATAACTAAGACACAGATACCCACAGAACAATTCTTTGCACCTTCAACAGGCAAGTTCCAACAAACCTGTGTCTCCCCATCTCTGTCCTGCCCCTTTTGGGGTAGAAATGTCCCCCTCCTTGGCAGCAATGCCAGCCTTTCCAAGGCCACATTTTTCATTGAGCCCAGCCTGCACAGTGGCTAGGAGAAAGAAACCACCGAGGCACAAGCTGCAGTGATAACACAGGAACTGGGTTGGAAACTTTCATTCTCATTCTCCAAGAGGTAGGGTCAGCTTCCACCTGGTCCTACTCCTGACAGTGGAGCCAGGAAGCCCCTGCTGGTAGCCTGTGCTCTCAGTAAGCTCTGTGCCCAGAAGTAGGCAGGGGCTGCTGATCCAGAGAATGGATTCTTATATAATTTTAGTAAAGGAAACCTAAAACAAATAAGTAAAAAATGAAAGAGAAAAAGAAAAGTTGACCAAACAGAACTTCTACTTGAAGATGTTCAACTACTTATTTTTTTAAAATGTATTTTGGAGGCTGGAGAGATGGCTCAGAGGTTAAGAGCACTGACTGCACTGAGTTCAATTCCCAGCAACCACATGGTGGCTCACAACCATCTGTAATGAAATCTGGTGCCCTCTTCTAACTTGCAAGGATACAGACAGACAGAACACTGTATACATAATAAATAAATCTTTAAAAAGACTCTACCAGGGCCATACACACACACTTCCTTGGGGCTAGAAAAAATGGCTCAGCAGTTAAGAGCACTCTTTCAGAGGACCTGGGATTCAATTCCCAGCACCACATGGCAACTCACAACTGTCTGTAATTCCAGTTTCAGGTGTTCTGACACACAGACATATGTGTTTGTGCTCATGCATGTGGGGGCCTGAGATTGAATGCCTTATGCATTGAAAAGGGTCTCAGTTAAATCCAGAGCTTGCCCCCATATGCATGAGCACAAAGACTGAAAGACTTTAAAAAATTATATAGCCAGGTGGGAATGATGCATGCCTTTAATCCCAGCACTTAGAAGGCAGAGGCAGGCTGGTCTCTTAAGTTCAAGGTCAGTATGGTCTACACAGAGAAAAACTATCTCGAAAAGGGAAAACTTTTTTTCCTGAAACTTTTTATTATTTTTGTGTATGAGTGTTTTGCCTGCATGAATGTCTATGTATCACTCACATGCAGCCTAGAAAAGGAACTGGATTTCCTGGAACTGGACTTATAGGTGGCTGTGAGTTACCACCTGAATACTCTGGAAGAGCAGCCAGTACTCTTAAGTGCTGAGTCATCTCTCCAGTACACCAACTACCTATTTTTAAACAAGAACTGTGTTTGCCTAATTACTGAAGAACACTAACTGCTGGGTTATTTTTATCATAGGTTTAGCTCCTGATGGCTCAGGAATGTGCTAGAGAGATGAGCACTCATATCAAATCCTAGATGAGAGGAGAAACAACTTCCTAAGCTAACACTTGGAGGGACTGCAGTACCCATGAAGGCTCATCTGTGCTGAGTCCTAGCACCCATGTGAATGCTGGGTGTGCATGGTGGTCTGTCTTTAACTCCAGCCATGGGGCAAGCTGACTAGCTAGGCTACCCACACTGGCAAGCTCTGGATTCAACTGAGACCCTTTTCAATGCATAAGGCAGAGAGTGACTTTAGACTTGCAACATGAATCTCAGGCCCCCACATGCATGAGCACAAACGCATGTACACCTTAACACACACGTGCCTGAGAGTGAAACACTGACATTTCCCTAGTAGATGGAGGGGCATGCTTTTACTATATTTGCACTTATAAAAAATGCAAGTTTCTCTGGATCACGGCTCTTTGAGTGAATGAACAGGCTAATTGACTTGCTGGGGCTATTGATCAATCTTGTCAAAGTCGTTACATTGTCTGTAAGAGTATTTCATATAATCAGTTATAGATTTTTGAGGTACACACAGTTACCAACCATCGTAATAGGCATTTATTTGTTTCACTTTTGATCTATCCCTTAAGGAGGCATTTTGCTAGGTTGAACTCTGGGCCTGAGTTCAACAGCCTGAGGTTAACCCTTAACTCCAATGATTGCTTTATTGTATTCTATTTTGCAGTGTGGAGGACAAAAGACAACTCTCTACCACTGAGTTATTTATACTTCAAGCCTCAAGAGTTTCAAGTAACCCTTCCAGTATTGTATTTTATGATTCTGACTTGAGAGATTTTGAACCTTAGGGATGTTTATAATGCTCTTTGGGGACTGTGTCTCTTGGGGTCATGGCCAAAATATAAAGCACTGCCCAGTTGTCCTCTCAGTGAGCAAGTTAGAAGCTATGTGGCTGCAACTGAGGTGACAGTTGCAGCCTGCCACCAGCACTGGACATCCCTGGAGGTGGAATAGAAGTAGCTACCAGGAGTGAACTTCATCCACAAAGCTGGGAAAATATTGTTTGTATTCACTCAGTTCCCCAGGCTGGGATCTGCATTACCTGGCTGAGCTCTGTATTAGGCCTCTTCACCTCCACCAGAAACACAGACTAGTGTGCTGCAAGTTAGAGACTAAGCTTCCCTCCCAGGGCATATGAGCATCCCAGTGCAGGGAAAGTCCCCTGGGACAGCCACCACACTGACTGATCTCCCTCTGCCATGATGGGTTACCACAGGCTGGCAGCTTCAGCATCAGCAGCTCACTGTCTTGTAGCTCTACAGGCTGCTAATGTAAAATCACAGCATTGGCAGGGATAGTTGCAGTGATTTACTATTTATTAAAGCTTGCCTGAGGATCAGAAAGCAAAGTTAGCCACAAGCCATAGAAGCCAGGCAAACACCTTTAATCCCAGCAGCCAGAAGCTAGGAGGTGGCTGTACATACCTTTAATCCTAGGACTCAGGATTAAGCAAACACCTTTAATCCCAGCAGCCAGAAGCTAGGAGGTCGCTGTACATACCTTTAATCCTAGGACTCAGGATTAAGAGGTAGATGGATCTCTGTGAGTTCAAGGCCACCCCGCTCTACACAAGATTGATCCAGTCCTAAAGAGAAACAGCTCACACAAAGATGATCTCAGCACCTGGGATCACATGCTTTTAATCCCAGCATTACTGAGGTATATAAGACAGGATCAAGGTCTCAGGATCAAGTATTCATTCTCTAGCCACATCGAGGACAGGAAGGCATTCAGTCTCAGGATTCTCCAGCCATGCTGAAGAGAGGCAGCAGGAACAGCCCATTCAGCCTGAGGTAGTGGTGAGAGCTAGTGGCCTGCTACTTTACTTCTGTTTTTCAGCTTGAAGTCTGAACCCCAATATCAGTCTCTGGGTCTTTTCTTTTTTGTGCTACAGTTTCCACCAAAGGCCCATCTTCTATCTGTTCATACCAGCATTCTTCAGTATGTCTGTACAGAACTGACAGTGTGTTGAATCAAGGCCCACCCATGTGGCTTTGTTTTAACCTTATCATTTCTCTGAAGGTCTGTCTCTAAAGAGAGTGGAATTCTGATATACTAGCAGTTAGGATTCTTATTTTTTACTTTTTGTTTTTTTGAGACAGCATCTCAGTATGTAGCTCTTGCTGTCCTGGAATTTACTGAGATTCACTTTTCTCTGGAATGCTGGGAATAAAGGCCTGTGATACTACACCCAGCTGTAGGTAGAATTTAAACACAGAACTGTGGTTGTGAGTAGGCATTAGTTACTTTTTTATTGCTGTAATAAAACACTATGACCAAGGCAGCTTAAAAGAAAGTGTTTCAGCGGGTTCGAATCCATGATGGCAGAGCAAAGGCTTGGTGGCAAGAACAGCAAGAGGTTTTTTTTTTTTTTTTTTTTTTTTTTTTTTTTGGTTTTTTGGTTTTTTGGTTTTTTGAGACAGGGTTTCTCTGTAGAAGAGCTCACATCTTAATCCACAAGCTGGAGACAGAATGAGTAACTGGGAATGGCCCAAATCTTTTGAAACTTCAATCACCCAGTGACACACCTCCTCCAACAAGGTCACATCTCCTAATAATTCCCAACAGTTCCACCAACTTCAGCGTATGGGGCATCATTCCCATTGAAACCTAAGGAGACTTCTCCACTTCAAAAGCTATCTATGATAGCCATAGTCAGCCCTGGGGACCAAGCCTGACTTTGTGATCAATCTTTTCTCTCTTTCAGAATTTCATGTTGCCCTGTATGTCCTTGAACCTCTTGTTTGCCTCCCTAAGTGCTATGATTACAAGGTGTGAGCCACATCTGGTTACCAATTAGTATTTAAGGCTCAGGTGACTTAAGCATGTTTTCTAATTATCCTATTGTTAATTGAATCAAGGGTGGTACCCAGGGTTTCAGACTCACTGGATGTGAAGGTGATTTGCAGTGAGGTCCAGGTAGTGACTGGTGAGTCCCAGGGGCCAGGATTGCTGGCAGCACAGCCTCTCCCAGCAGGGATGAGGTGGGTGGAGCTTGCCACATGCACAGGCTGAGTATCCGCGGTGGGAGAGGAACAGCTTAACTTCAGCCTCCCAAAGCTGAACAGGGATTTCAGGCCATGACTCAGTATGGATGTTAACAGCTGAGTGTTGTGGAAAGGAAGCCAGTCAATATGTGGTGACCCCAGGAACGAGGATGGTGGTAGTGTTATGTTACTCTTGTAGCCTCCTCTTGCTGCTGGTCTGTCCTGTGTGCCTGAGCCTACTGTGGAATTGGGATTCCAGGTGTGTACAGCATGCTTGGCTCTCATAAGTCTTTACTTGTGCGTGAGGTATACTTGCTAATTTCTTATTCTTCTTTATTCCCATTTTAATGTTACCTGCAAGCAGTCTTCATGGAACAAACTATCAAGTAGGCTCTGGCTGACCCTGTGATTCACATGTCACTCAAGATTAAGAACAGTTTGCTGGGCTGGGTCAACCCAAACACATCTTTGTTGATGCAGGGAAGCACAGAAGAATAGAAGAACCAAGGACAGCAGGAGCAGGCCGGATCATTTCTCAACTTAGTACCCAAAGGCTCAGATCCATACTTCACTGACAACACTTTTTTTTTTTTTTTCCATTTTTTGAGACAGGGTTTCTCTATGTAGCCTTGGCTTCCTGGAAACTCATTCTGTAAACCAGGCTGGCCTGGAACTCAGAGAGATCTGCCTGCCTCTACCTCCCGAGTGCTGGGATTTAAAGGTGTGTGCCACTGCCACCGGATATGGGTGTTTTGCTACATGTAGCAAATATATATATCTGTGCATCACTGGAGTGCCTGGCGTCTGCAGATGCCAGAGGAGGACACTGTATTCCCTGGAACTCACATTACAGACAGTTGTAAACTGCCAAGTGGGTACTGGCCTCTAGAAGAGCAGCAAACCACCTCTCCAGCACCCCATTGTGGATCTTAATATGGGAGTGACACATAGGGCTCTGCTCTGGGCCCTGGAATAGGGACTATTTCTCATGTCTATTCACTTCTCATCAGCCAGCACCTCAATGCAACTATCTCTTTATCACTTCCCTTGTAAGATTCTACCTGCAGAATGGACCCTGCCTCCCTTTGATCTTCTGTCAGGGCCACTAGAATTGCCTCTTTAGCCTTATCCAACCCTGCTGTCTGTCCTCTGCAGGAAGAGATGCTAAGTCCCTGCATTTCTACTCCCTATCTGAAATGAGGGAACCCAGTTGGTGTGACAGGCATGGTGGTGTCTCTGCTGTTCTGCATAGTGACTAGCATGAGACCCTCACTGAAACAATTCAGATCATTTCTATAACACATCTTAAAGGTTGGGTGGTGGCACATGCCTTTAATCCCAGCACTTAGGAGGCAGAGGCAGGTGGATCTCAGTGAGTTCCAGGACAGCCAGGGTTGTTATACAGAGAAACCCTGTCTTGAAAAACAAACGGAAGGAAGGAAGGAAGAAGGAAGGAAGGCAGACAAGACTCCAGGCAAATGCATGAGAGTGGAGTTTCAAAGTCCACTTCTAGTTGTGGGTTAAATCTCTGCCCTATTCTTTACACGGACAAACAAACACTGTCATGTCCTGGAGAATAAAGTGGCTACTGTATGAGTTCACACGTAGGGAAGAGTAGGGCAGGCTAGCCCCCAGTTCACCCTTCCCTGCCCCCTGTTCACTGCACCCTTGGCTAGTACTCCAGTTTCTTCACTCCTCATATTGAGAGCTGAAAAGCTAAGGATGCTTCCCTCAATCTTCCAGTGCTCAGACCACCTCAAAAGAGCTTACTCACTGTCATTGCCACCCCAATTCTGCAGCTGTGCCTGAATCACAACCCACAGAACTTCACGCTGTCCCTCTGTCTTGCCACACCTGCACATGAGCTCTGAGTCCATGCTCTAGGGTGGTTCTCCTCCCAGTACAGCAGGCTAAGCAGTCACTGTCCAGAACAGCAGGACTGGGCCTGTACAGGTTGCCTCTAGACACCATAACTTAGCCATTCAGAGCCTGGCCCACTCACCCAGCAGCCTGCCCTTGTCTCTTGCATACATGATACCCCAGTGGTGAGGAGCAGCCATGTACCCCAGGCCCAGTGCAGCATGGCAGAGGCATTTATTACCTGTATGCATTTTTGGAAACAGGACGAGGATCAAACTTAAAGAAGATGATGCACATGGGTTACAAAGGTGATTTTGCTCACACGGTCACAAGGTCTGTGGGAAAAGGAGAACAGTGAGTTGTCAACAGCAGTATCAGAGGGCCTTTCAGATGCCCCATGGTCCAGAACATACTACCAGTGAGTGGGACTGGACAAGGGAGACCAGGTGCTTGGTAACATCACAGACATTGTCCTTTACCTGGGCTCATCAGCATCACCTTGTAACTCCACCACCATGACACTCTTGGACCCTGGACATACCGAATGGGGGTACTAGAAGGGGCAGCAGCAGCAATAGGAACCATATGTGAAGCTAGGGTGAAGGAGTAGCAAATCCTCTCCCCACCAAATGGCACCAGGTACTCCCTCATGAGCCACTGTGGAAGGTACCATCATTTCAGACCAACGGCACCCAAGGCCAGGCATCAGGGCTCACTCACCTGATATGATCTGTGATATCTGTCCCCACAGTCCTTTGTTCAACACACACACCATGGTAGGCAGAAACCTGTGATGGACACATGCACACACACCTGGGTGCTAAGTGAGTATGGCCACATGAGCCCCAGGCCTCAGAGACCTGGGGGAAGCATGCCGGCTCAGGAAAGCTTTCTATGGAAAGTGCTGCAAACTGGGATGATGGCTTGGAAAACTGGATGTGGGGCTGAAGCGTTGTCTCAGTGGTTAAGGGCACTCACTGCTCTTTCAGAGGCCCCAGGTCCATTCAGTTCCCAGCACCCATTGGTAGCTTGCAACCATCTGTAACTCCAGTCTCATGGTGTCTATTATGGCCTCTGTGGGTACCAGGCACACACACAGTGCACACACATACATGCAAGCAAAACATTCATACACATAATTTTAATTAAAAGGGGGTGGTCTCTGAGAAATTGTGCCTACCTAGCATTCTATGAAACAGAGACAGGTTCCCACTGTGGGGCCAGGAACCCTGAAATTCAGTGACCTTGGCTAACAAGAAAGATTGACATGCATATCATAAACCAGCTATGGTCTGATTATAGGAAAACAAAAGCAGGATAGAGAAAGTAACAGAGAAAAAAGGCAGGGTTTATTTACAAAGGACAAAAAGGAACTTTTATAAAGTTTTTTAAGAAATGATGGCTATAAGAACTACAAAGCACAGTAGATCTGTGTGTGTGGAGGGGTGAGGCATTGAGAAATGGTAAATTCATGAGCATTCAAGACACAGCTTAATGAGACAACCCAGCAATTATCCAGAGGCAGTGCAAGGAACTGGCATCGTGCTGGACCTCAGGAGGGACTACATGGCTCTCCGGCCAGCTGCTGTGGATGGGGGCTCCTGGACTAATGATACACACAAAAGCCAGCTCCCGGTGTCAGAAAAGAGGCCAGCACTCTGGACCTTAGTCTCCTTTGGTCCTCCTTAGGCTGTGTACCCAGCTACTGGGCAGAGCCATGGCAGAGGCGGTTCTGCCCACTGTCACCAGACATTGCCAGAGAGCAAGGGTGTTTCTCCAATTCAGCTCCAATCCTGGCTGGCCCAAAAGGGCAGCAGACCAGCTCTTTAGTTGGAGTGGTGGTGAGGTTTCCATGGTCACAGGTAGGCCATCGATGTGTCTCCAGGCAGCCTGGAGTTGGAGGTGCTGGCAGAGCCCAGGGCTGCGGCCTCGATGAAGATGCAGTCATTGGGAGAGAAGGACCAGAGGAAAGCCAGCCCCTGGGAGGGGACCATCAGGAACTGCCTTTCTCTCCAATCCCTCACCCCCCCACTCAAGCCAGGCCCGCTGCCCAACAGCCCTCTGTCCTCTCTGGCCAGCAAACCCAGCATATCTTTCCTACTGTACCTGTCCCAAGCAGATCCTTTCTTCCACTGAGCCCAGATATTTCCCTCAAGAAGCTGCCAGCAAGTGCCCGTGAGTGCCAGGTGTCTCCAATTCAGCACCCATGGAGTTCTGAAGCTCTTTCAGGGCCTGGTGGGGTCCACCATAAGGGTCTTTAAAGACCAAATAGGATTCTTCAATGCCTAAGGCCAGACCAGTCAGTCACCATGAAGAGAGAGGAAAAAAGAAAAAAAAAAATGCTGGAAGAGCTGGAGAAATAGCTTAGCAGTTAAGAGCACTGGCTGCTCTTCTGAGGACCTAGGTTCATTTCCCTGCATGCACATGGTGGCAACTCCAGTTCCAGGGAATCCAATGCCTTTTCTGGGCCCCATGGCCACTGCACATATGTGGCACACAGACACACATGTAAGAAAAACACCCACACACATACAATAAAATGGAAAACAAAACCCCTGTCTGGACATTTGTGGACATAGGTGAGGAGAGAGCAGGAAGCCTACTGAGCACAAGAGGCTGAAATCCCAATCGTGGATTTCTCCAAAAGCACTGAACAAGTGCTGAGATAAACCACACTAAAAAGTGCTAGCCCAGGGACAAGGATCCATGCTGAAGGTTCTTGAGGTTACAAGTCCAGGGCACCCGGCTCTCACAGCACTTGTCACTGGACAGGGGCTCACTCTATGTCCTTGGCCTGCCAAGCGACATTTAGCACTCCACTTCCCAGGGCGACCTCCACCAATACTAGTACACAGTTCTGGCAGTCAAGGAGTGTGCGGTGAGCAGGCCTGGGATACCAGCACCCTGTACATTCCAACTACTATCTTTGGAATGTCTTTTGGGAAGTGTCCTCATGACATGAAGGCTTGGGCAATGCCAGATAGGCTATGCCACTATGACTTGTGATGGTGGCCTTGGGCCATGTAGCTATCAGATGCATACACAGTAATGTCAGCCACATAGACTAGCAATCTGCCAAATCCACAAGTGAAGTACCAGTAAAACACTGTGTACCCAGGTTAGCAGGTTGCTGGCAAATCCCATGTGTGTTGTTTCACACATTACTGCTGAGAAAACTGAGCAGGGCACACAGCTTCAGTGAGAACTGGTGAACAGGAGCCTCTTCTGGATTCTGTGCTCTGTCCCTTTTCTATTGTGGCTTTTAATCTGTGCCCATCCATCCCTTGAAATAAACCATGAACATGAACGCCTTTTTTTGGACTCTGTATCCTCCTATCAAATCACCTTGAGTTGAGGTGATCTTGGTATTTCTTCATTAACATCTAAACTTTGGCCCTGCAAGAAGTCACCACACAGTGGCTCAAAGAGGGAAGTACCCTGGTCCAAGGGCATGTAGTGGCCTCTGCTCCCTGATAAACACTAACCCCCTCACTCCCTTACCCATCTGAGAACTGCTAGATTCACTACACTCCTCATGAAAGGTGGATCTTAAGCCCACCAACAGGCTTCATTCCATGCAGGCCACTTCCACAGCCAGTCCACTGAGCCCAGCTGTACCTACCTCTTTGTCCTGCCAAGACATTGGCCCCGAAGTTCCCATGGGGCCAGAGAACTGTTGTTCTCAGGCCTGTACCTGATCATGAGCTATGTAAATGGCCAAACCCAGACTAAACACAACCATCCTACATAATAAGGAAAGATTAGAACAAACAACACAGGAAAACATTAGGAAAAACATTAAATTCTGTAGCTTCAAGTTTGACATCTAGGGCAAGTAGTGTGATGTGTGCTCTACAGGGCTTGGCTAGCCCCAACCCACAGTCCTTTTGCCTGGAGTACAGATGAGCTGGCTCCACTCATAGCCTCCAGGCTCTGTCCTCAATGACATTTCACATTCCTGGTACCTCCCACAATCTGTATTTCATCCTTAAAGCTTTACACATCATGCACGCAGGGAATCACCTCAGGAAATATCAGGAAATATAACCTTGCTACACATTGCCTGGCCTAAGACTTGGCTTAAAAAAAAAAAAAAACCTTTGGGTCAAATGATCCTTTCTCAGGGGTCACATATCAGATATTCTACATATCAGATATTTACATTATAATTCATAACAGCAGCAAAGTTAGTTATGAAGTAGCAACAAAAATAATTTTATGGCTGGGGGTCATCACAACATGAGGTGGTGTCACTACAACATTGGGAAGGTTGAGAACCTTTGGTCTAGTAGCAAGCCTTCATATCCTTGCAATTCTTACATCCTGTAAGCCTGCAAAACCATCATCTTGTGACAGTAACATAGCCACCAGATCCTCGTGGACCTTGGTTGTAGTAGCTCCCAAATGCTTTAATCAAAAAGCAAACAAGGGCTGGAAAGATGGCTTAGTTCCCAGGACCCACATAATGGCTTGTAAATGTCTGTAGCTCTAGGGTCTGACACCCCTTTTATCCTCCGTAGAATGAGGCAATGCATAGTACACGTTCATACATGCAAGCAGAACACTCATATACATTAAGATAATAGTACAGAGCCTGAGAACCCCTGCCTTTCCTAAGCAGCCTCTTCCCAGCAAGGCACCCTGGCAGCATTCTTCTTTGTTTTTGCTTTTTTGAGACAGGGTTTCTCTGTGTAGCCCTGGCTGTCCTGGAATTCACTCTGTACAGCAGGTTGGCCTCGAACTCATGGAGATCCGAATGCCTCTGCCTCCCAAGTGCTGGGATTAAAGGTGTGTGGCACCAATGCCCAGCAGCACTCTTCTTTTATAATCTGTGTGTGTGTGTGTGTGTGTGTGTGTGTGTGTGTGTGTGTGTGTGTGTTCCAAAACAGGCTTATTTTTGGCATGACAAATATTAATTGAAAATACAGTCTCTGAAAATAGGGAAGTAACAAAAAGAAAACAAGAAGGCCAATAAGCTCTCAGAATTGAAGAGTATGTCCACTGTGCTGGCTAGTTGTATGTCAGCTCAACAGTCATTGAGAGAAAGGAAGCCAATTAAGAAAATGCCACCATAACATTGGGCTGTAGACAAGCCTGTAGGGCATTTTCTTAATGTGATCTATTCTGTGTGGTGACATCCCTCAGCTAGTAGTCCCAGGTCCTAGGTTCTAGAAAGAAGGCTGAGCAAGACACGGGCAGGGCTATCCCAGGACCTATGCATGGAGCTTCTGTCTCCAGGTTCTTGCCCTGTTTGCTTTGGGTTATGGTGTTTCATCACAGCAATATAACACTAAGAATTAAGATACGCATAGTCAGATACGCATAGTCCCTGAAT